TAGAACGGCTGCTGTCAATGACTGAATACATGCAGTAAATTTCATCATCAGCGATTGCTGGTTCAGCTTCAGTTCGATGAATACTCCTCGTAGGTTTCTTGGAAACGCTCTTCACAGGTTTCTGTGTTCTCCTTTGAGATTCTTGATCTCGACTTCTACATATCTTAGGAAAATGATTCTTCATGTTACACTTGCTGCATTTTTCTCCATAAGCCGGACAGTGGTGCAAATTGTGGTTCGTTCCACAATATTTACATTGTTTCATTATTTCTACTTGTTATGTAAAATCTGGTTTCTTTCCTCTGTACATGACAGCATGTACTGAAGTTTCTGTTTCTCCATCAATCTTTTTCAGTTGATCGCTGGCTGTTTCTGCAGTTCTAATTTAAGGCTGTATTGAGAGTGAGAGCCTTCTCACAGAGTAGTCCTTTTCTGACCTCATGGCTTTTGATTCCATTGACCAGTCTGTCTCGAATCAGTTCGTCACACAGCACTATAAGCTGGCTTTTGCTATCTGTTCAGGTATTGATCAATATTTTCGTTTTCTTGGTTGGCACTGTTGAACAGGTAACGCTCAAAAATAATATTCCTCTGTGGTTCAAAATGCTGCCTCAGGATCTGTGCGATCAGCTACAAGCAGATTTTAAGCTATTTGGTAAGTTTCTCTTCCCAGAACTATCTTAAGAGTTTCCAAGATGACTGGTTTGGGATTCTTATCAAGTTCAGTTGCTATCTTATAGCTCTCCCAACTCTCTCTGAAAAAATTCCAGCCTGGTACTCCTTGAGATTCATTGGAGGTGGCGTTGGTAACTGACTGTACATCATCACCTGTGTAGGTGGCACAAAAGGTTGCGCTAGAGGTGCCTCTGGAGGGTTCTCTTGCACCAGAGGGTCCTCTTGATCGTCCATTCTGTTAGTTCTTTGTTGTCCTCATGAAGCGTTTGCTAAGTGTATACTAGGCTATGGCCTTTCGCAGAAATGCAGTTTCCTCAATGTGTGAACCTGGAAATTCACCTCAAATTTCACAAGTGGCAGTGTTAAGGCTCCTGGTCTGTCCAATAACACTGCTGGATTCTTTTAGCACCTGCGATTAATTTTTCTGTCTTTGCTTGGATCTGTGAAATTTGTCTTCAATTTTGTAATCCACTTCCATACACGTTTATTGATATCCAATGGGCTATACCAGCAACTAAACTACTTGCTACATCAAGTCACAAGCTCGGCTTTTATAGGTACAGTTGAGCATTTAGAACGCTCTGTAACATTACAACAGATTCTATTTATATATTGATTCAGGGATGACTCAGCATGACACAGCTACTTCTAGAACATTCTTGAAGGTCACACTACAACTTTTAGACATTAATTTATTAGTTTATGATAATAACTGAGCCCCTCTAGTGCCCAAGCATCATGTCTAAGCATATTGAAAAATTAGTGGGAAATTTTCAGTCCAACAATTTCTGATGACTGGCTGTTAAGTGGAACTTTAGGTTACCATAATTGCGCTCACAGTGCAGTGTTGTGTTAATACCATTGCTTGCATCTCCAAATCTCATTATCATAGGTGGTAAACCATCATCACTTTCATCACTGCTAGTTGTCAACTTTTTGGACAACAAGGATAGCCTGACATCTTTCAGTTTAAAAGCCTCCATGTAATTTCCAATTTTGAAAGGTAGCTCTCTCCCATTCACTTCCAAGGTAACACCCATGTGTTCATTGTGAAAATTTCCAAGAGCAAATAGCATGTCTTCTGTTTTCCCAAAATATGACACTCCATTAGGTAAAAAGATTGACTTACAAAGTTTCATAACATCTACTCCGTTACTTGATAACCGCATGGTTGCATACCTACTACCGTCTCCCTTACACAGAGGTACAAAGACATAGTCTTTGACCTCCTCTTGGAAGTGTTTCCATACAACTTGTACTCGTTTGGACCACTCTTTTTCCTTTTCAAGCTTTTTCTTTTGCTGTCTGTTGCCTGAAGTAGTCATAAGCTTAGTGGACCTATCTTTCTTTGAAGACAAGAATGCCTCAAGTAGTCTTCGTCTTTTGGATTCCTTTTCTTCCTTGTGTTGCTTCTCTTGAGCGGTGCTGCTGTCGAGAGCCCCATATCTTTAAGGGTATCATCATTCGCATTTAGGACTGCTGAAATATCCATCTGAGAAAAGAAGATTCAAGTTAATTACTTTATTAATGCTCTTTTCCAATGGAGATGTGATTTCATCTTGTTTTTTGGAGTTCAAATAGCAGGAAAAGGGGCAATGTGGTTTATTTTATTGTAACAGCTACCAGTATTTTTATTAACTCAAAGAGGGGCAACACCATACACTATGAACTGTAGTTTTATGAAAATTCCATGAATTTCACGTGAAAAACCCATGAAGATCATTTCATGGCCCATGAATACTGCAAAATGAAATTTCATGGGGTTATTTTTAGCCCTGAATTTTCCATGAATTTGGGGAATATTTTTCATGACCCATGAATTTCTTCAAAGTCCATTTTCAGGACCCATTGATTTGTCATGAGTCACCAGAATTAATTTCATGACCCATGAATTTCTTTATAAGCCTACTTTCATGACCCATTAGTTTCCCCAGAAAGTCATCAGAATGAATTTCATGCCCATGAATTGCAATCAAACAGCATTTCATGGGCTAACAATTCATTTGTTTTGGGAGAACAAAATTAATGGGCCATAAATATTCCCTGAAATCTGTTGCCCATGAATTTCATCGATGAATCCATAGGCCATTAAAAGTGGTATTAATTAGTTCATCACAGTCACTGATTTATCAACGAGCTGACTTTCATGACCCGTGGAACTGACTTGTTATAAATTTATTAGAGATGGAATTTTGGTGTACAGCACGAAAACTGTCGAATGAAAATGTCCCTAAACATCTTAAGTGGCCTGTGTTAACGTAGAATGTACAGGAAATCACAAACAATGGATCTTCAATTTGCTCCTTTGTTGAGACAAATGGGGCTGGAGGCAATGACCCAGATGTTTGATCCTCACTTTGATTTTTTGGGGCCTTTTTGCCTTCGCCATGCCTGGACGACTTAATTGAATTTTTTCGGCCTAACTGCTGGCTTTGATTGTTAGCCATGACTCTGGAAACCTGTTCAAGGTCTTCTCTTACATTCTTACGGCTGAGGAATCTTCTAGGGGTTTTCCAGTAAGGCACCTGCACAGTACGGATGCTTAAGTTGCACAGCGATAGTACGCATTGCATCTACACGAAATGTGGAACAAAACAATGAAAAATCAATCACTTTCTCTCCTCAGTTTGGAACTTTGAATAGTATGCAAATGTGACCTGAAAAAAATGCCATTTTTACCTCGTTCATAGAGTCGCCGGTTAACAGAGTCAGGCCATCTTCTTAGTCGGGATAAAACGTTACCTTCATGTATTCATTGACATCACCTTCTACAACATCGTTGTTGATTTCGTGATCGCTTTCACAGGAATCACTGTCGATGTAAGCTCTGACTTTCTTGGACTCTGAGGTCCTGTCGATTGCTACTTGCTTCGAATTCCAAACACCGAACAGCTCAATCGCTCTGACGAAGGGCTAACGCTCGAAACGTCAGCTTTTTTACCCTTT